ATATGTACAAAAATCAAAGAAAATCTTGTACAATTTTCATAAACTTTCTTCTCATCGTAAGTGGTTCCACTTAGGCACGAAATTGTGTCCATCAATTTTAGTCTAGTTCTGTAGCTCCTCTTCTTCTCATTGCAATTATAAATGATGCTATTCAATTAAGGCGAACAACCTTAGTAATTCACTAGAGCCGATCTAAGCCGCAGCTGCATTGCGAACGCATAAAACTTCATTAGTGAAAACGCAGCCGAGCAGCCTGCTGAATTAGCAAAGCTTTTAAATTAATGAACGCGCACTTGCACACACACGCAGTCACACACACAACACTCACACACACACAGCTGTATCCAGTTGCATAGATATTAATCAAGAAAATTATAGACAACGCTCGAGGAGCCAGGTAAGCCGGCTTCAGGCTGGAAAACTAAACAAGCGCTGTTGATTATGCCTAGAGATTTTAATAGCTTCGACGATTATCTCAAGAAGAAGAAGACGAAGGAGAAGAAGAAGAAGAAGAGTTGCGCGCAGCCAACAGAAAGGGTTGTCCAGATTAACGCAAACGCAACCGACTATAATTACAACTTGTTGCGTTTTTTGCTTTTACTTTTATTTTTCTGTTTTTCTTCTCGATGCTGCTGGTTCAGCGTGTGAGAAAATGAGTATATTGGTGGGAAGTTTAGTATCATTACAGAGTTGTATAGAGGTAGATTTAAGGTGGTTTAACTTTAGATGTGGCGTACAAAATATTTATATGTAATTAAATTTGAGAGCTAGGATGAACAAAACAAATATTTTAAAAAATTCATTATTCTAGAGAAGGACTAAAAAATTCTAATTAAATATCTAAATATTCATTCTATAGAAAGAAATTTCTAAATAAATATCTATATATTGATGAGTGGGAGTAAAACTTTCAACAAATATTATTTATAACTGAAGGACAACAGCTTTAGAGGTAGAGTAACGAAATTTGAAAAGAGAGAGAGAGAGAGAGAGAGAGAGAGAGAGATCAGATAGTATTGAATTTTTTTTTTAATTATTGCAATATATTTAATTTTCTAATTAAGTATTTGTTCCAATATTTATATAATATATTTTCGAAATATTATATAAACGCAAAAAAAAAAAGAATAGTTTATTGTGCATAAAATTGTTGTTTTATTTTATTTATTTATTTTTTACTTTTTTTTTTTTTTTGAACAAGTATTATTAAGTTGAGCAAACTCTATTGGAAATATTTTCAGATGCTTTGTTGTTTATTATTTTCTTAGTTTTTTTTTATATATTTTTTTCGTTGATTATTAGCTACCTTTGCCGAGACACCGAGCCTGGCCCGAAGGGATTAATGCTGAAGACACACATACACTCACACACTGACCCTTTCTTGTCGTGTGTTGTTTGTTGTTGTAGCTGTGTGTGTGTTATTGTTGCTGTTGTTGTTGCTGTAAGCAAACTGAAGTAGTACGCTAAGAGCGTCTCTTGGACAAAACTTCGTCTCGTTTCTATACAAATATTAAATCCCTCTGCGCATGTGTGTTTTGTCTTGTGTGTGTGTGTGTGTGTGTGTATGTTGCCCACAGCTGTGTGTATGTGTGTGTATATTTTTTATCAACTGCTTTGAACCTTTTTCCACTGGGTATACGCGTCTGCTGGTCTCTGTTTACACAAAGAGCCAGAGACCAGAGAGACAGGGCCAGACCCAGACCCAGAGCCACAGCCAGAGCCAGAGCTCTCGGGCCCAGAGCAGGCAGCGAAAAGTGGCAGCCAAATTGCTCCTCGATATCTTTTATTTTCTTTGCCAGTAGTTGTTGCTGCCGTAGCTGTTGTTGTTGTTGTTGTCTCATATACTTTTTTTATTGTATGCATGTAGACACACATTTAAGCCTTTGGCTTCATTTGCTGGGCAACCGTTTGCGCAAACGTTTCGCGTCTCTATGTATATGTGTGTGTGTATCTGTATCTCAATATTGTATCTGAAAGTACACAGCACTCGCTCTCTCCTCTTCTCTATCGCTCTCGCTCTCGCTCTCGTTCRCTTGTGTACGACGCAAGTACGTGCAACGTTGTCGACTTCGCATTTTGCTGATGATGTCCATTATTTACATTAATTTTATTTGTTTTTCTTATTTGGCTTGACGTTTCAAAAGTGCCGATGTTTCCAAAGATAATGAATCGCTGGATCGCATTGTATGTGTGTGTGTATGCAGGCAGGGACGGCTGGCGAGGGCCGACCGTCGACCGCCGACCGCTCGACAGCTCGGACAGTTTAGACAGCTAAACACAGACACCGAGCCCCAGTCATAAATGCATAAGCGAAGCAGAAACAATATAAACCTAGTAGAAAATAAATGAAAAAAGCGAGAAAAATACAAAAATAAATAAAATTAAATACGTCAACGAAAATCCCCCAAAACGAGTTAAATTTTTGTTGTTTCTGAATTTGGAGGCTACGTGTCGCTGCTAGTGAGGTGTGATATATGAGCTATTAGGCTGTTTAGTTTAGAATTCCTAGGAAAAGCTCGGGGTGTTTATGGGGCCTATTAATGGAGAACAGTTAGACAAGTAGTCGGCACTATAAAGCGAAATAATTGCAAAAATATATAAAATTAAGAGGATTGATTGCATGAATAGAGAAAATATAAATATCGCAGCAAGCAAAGTAAATACATTTTGTTTACCCATGGAAATTTTTATATAATATAATAATATCTAATATGTGAAATGCTTTTATAGATTCCACTGAGTTACAGCTCTATTTGATATTTTTAAACAAAAAAAATTAATCCAGTCTCCATTCATGTCCACCAAGAAATTTCACTATTAACTGAAATTATTCTTGTTGCTCAATAGTTTCGCACATCAAATGGTAATGAAGCGTAAGCTACACTTCAATATTATTTATCGTCAATTATCATCATTTACAATACTTGAATCAAGTTTTACCGGGAAATCAAAATGATTTAGCTACCTCAATTTCACTTCAATTTTCACCATAGTCAAATCAAGTCGTCAATGATAAATAAATTGCCCACTTGTTTGATTATCTATGAAAATTGCTCATACGTCAGCTCTAATCAGACGGCGCTATAAACTATCTATCTTAGTTTGCACAGATCTAAAGTGACAGCAAAACACAAGAGCTGAACTCTGGGCTGTGGACTGTGGGCTGTGGGCTGTGGTCTCTGGGCGGCTAGCAATACGTGGCCCGAACCCAGAGAACTCTGGCCGAGCTCGCAATGATGCAGCACTTCCACAACAATTCGCTTATCATGCCAGACAGGCGGAAAAGTAAGCTGCGCTCCTCAGCAGCACTGAATAACTAAAAATCACGTTGTGAAAACTCATTTCAAGGCGCAACAGTCACAAGTCGAGAACATTTCCAGCAAATGATAAGCAAAACTGTCATGGCACAGCAGTCGGCTAGAAGAGCGGGTCTGTGGTGGGGCTCGGGGGGCTCGGGAGGTATCTTTGAGGCAGATGCCAATGCGTAGACTGCGAGGCAGTTTTGTTGTTTGTCTGGTAAAACGTCTGGTTAAATGTGCTCAAGACGCAACTACTACGTTTTATGATCGACAATTTGTTCTTCATTATTATGTTGATTATGATTGTCACACTGATTGTCATTATTGTAATTTTTACTGCTTCTGCAAGATTTACTCTTAGATAATGTGTTCTGCTTCATTATCATTGTCAATATCAACATCATATTCAATATTATTTTTATTATATTTACATTAGCTTCATTATTATTTTCATTGGCATTATCATTAAAGCGGTTATCTTAACTATGTAATATTTGCTTGCTTTTTATAATCAAATTCTGCATTATTGTCCATTTTCATTATTGTCGTTGTCATTGTCATTGCCATTGCCGTGGCCATTAGCAGTGTTGCTGCTTATAATTAGATGTTTTTGCTGTGCTGATTAGACTATTAATATCATTTACATTATTGTTGTCATTAGCCTTATCATTGTTCTGGCTGTTTTTTAAGGGTTGCATAATAATATTGCTTAAAATACAATATTATTGCTTTAAATTGCTTGCCATAATAATCATATACTAATTCATTATCGTCATTATCATTATTATTGCTGCTACTAGTTCTTTCATAATCCCTTGGTAGCATTGCCATTATGATCATTGCTCTTTCTTCATTCTTGTGCTTCTTTTGTCTTTTAATGTTGTCATATTTTGATTGTATTCGCCATCATTATTACCATTGCCATTATCATTATTTCTAACTTGTTCTGCCGCATTTAGTCGCCTTTAACGCAATGATCACGTTCCGCAGAGAGCAACAAGCGTAGAAGCAGCCGTAGCTCCTGTTGCGTAAATCCAGTAACCACTCGGTTGAGCGGGTCGCATCGGGTCGCTATTCGGGTCTCGAGCTCTCTCGCCTGCTGCTACCGAGTGAGTCCAAGGCTTGCCTAACTGACTGACTGACTGCCGTTTAGTTCGCTTTTGGCTACCAGTTGCATTTTCTATGGCTGCCCCTGCTGTATCTCTCTGTGTGTGGGTATCTCTCTGAGAGAGGCGTATGTGTGTGTGAGTATATCTCTGTTTGTGTGTATGTGTGCCCGTTCGCTTACTACTGTGTGCTGCTCGCTTGCGCACAGAGCCAGTCAGGTTTTTTTTTCAGACGCACAATCTTATCTAACCTGGCAGCGTCGACAACTCCAACTGCGACGACGACTCGTTTCGATTCAGTTTCAGTTTAGTTTCACTTGCCGCCGCCGTTGCTGATAAAACATTAAAAAAAAAAAAAAAACCAAAAGCAAAAAAAAAATTAAAAATAAATAAACAACAACAAAAGTTCATTTAGCTAGTAAGCAAAAACAGTAATTAAAAAATCAAGCAAAGTGTTTTGGTAAATAAATATACTCTATATGACTTGGCTGACTTGACCTCAAGAACAAAATTAATTTTTAGCAAATGCTCAATAAATATTATTAAAATAACTTAATTGACAAACAGCTCAGGTAAGCTTGTGTTGTTAACACCTGCTTTAGAGTATTAGCAAGAAGGAAAAAAACGAGATATTTGAGAAGAGAACAATAATGAAATGAACATCCGACATCGACTCAAATGCGATCAAATTACAAATGTTCTGTGATTTATTTAATTTGTATTGATTTTTGTTTTTAACGTGAATACTCAGATATGCAAATGAAGTGTATCAAATGAGTACTTTAATTTATTATTATGTATATTATTTTTAATTTGTTTGGGCAACTTGTTTTTTGTATTTAAATATTTATATAAATTATATATTTTATATAATTGTGGAAAGTTTCGCCTGAATTTGTTCTAGATGCATATGACTGGAATATTTTAGATTATATTTCGACTGAGGGTTATTATTAAATAATTAATCGTAGCTTGGTCTTTCTCTACTAATTTTGAGTTTTGAACTCTAAGAAAGAAAGATTTATTTGACAAACTGTTGCGCATAGTTAATGTACTTCCATTAACCCCAATGTTTTTGGGCAGTGTATGTTAACAAAGCAGCAAAAAAAAAAAAAAAGTGGAAAAAAAACTTTTTATGGAACTTGACGAGCAATTAAGATAAGCCCAATAGAGCCCCAATAAGTCGCAACAATTAACACAACATTTGACTAATTGTTATATTTTCCCTCTCCCTCTCTCTCCCTCTCTGTTTATTCTTATCTGCAGCTGAAGGTCTGATGGCATGTGAGTAGGCGCTTGCGCTGAACATGCCCACGGATAACACGGCCAGCGAGGGCGGAGGCGCCATACCCATGCTGCGCGCCTCACGCATGGATCAGTTCATGTCGACGGTGGCCGCTGTGGCTGCTGCGGCAAACGGCGGCGGCAATGGGGGCGGCGGTGCCGGCGGTGCGGATGGCTCGGCCAGCGGCGGCGATTCGCGCAACTCCTCGGCCAGCAGGATCTCGGCAGCGGCTGCTGCCTACGAAACACAGCTGGCCTACCAGCAACATCTGGCCTCGTCGGGTCTGCACGGCGGACCGCCGCATCATCGCGAGATATCGGCCTTTGTGCCGGTGCTGCCGACGCGGCAGTCGCTGGAGGCGAAGGCGCGAGCTGGCAGCAATTCCAACTACGAGATCATCGCCATGATGGCGGACAAGCGCAAGGAGCTGGCGCTGCGCGAAGCTGCCGCCGCCGCTGCCATGCTGGGACGGGGCGGGCCGCCGGGCGTACCGCCGCCAGGTGTGCCGCCACCGGGTGTGCTGTACGGGCCACCGCCACCACCGCCATATCTGACCGGACCGGGGCCATCGCCAACGGGCGCCGGCAGCTTTCCCTTTCCGCCCGGAGCGGCAACGGCTGCGGCGCTGTTTCCGCCCGGCCTGGGACCGGGCATGCACGCCGGCCTGGACAGGCGGCTGCTGCGCGCACCTGGACGCGCCTCACGGCCCAAGAAGCAATTCATCTGCAAGTTCTGCAATCGCCAGTTCACCAAGTCCTACAATCTGCTCATTCACGAGCGCACGCACACGGACGAGCGACCCTATTCCTGTGATATTTGCGGCAAGGCTTTCAGGCGACAGGATCACCTAAGGGATCACAGGTGAGTGGCCGCTGTGCCTGCTTTGGGGCGTGGGCAACGACCAGCCAGTGGGCGTGCCAGCGCTCGTAATTGCTGTCATGCCTCGGGGCAGCAGCAGAGAAGTGAACAACAAAACTCGAGTGCTTAAAAAGGATTAGTCAATTCGAAGCTGAGATACCCTAGAAGAAGATTTGGAATGCTGAAAATGTGAATTGGGCGGGTATATAGGTATAGCTAGGAGGGAAAACCTGTAGAAAAAGAAGGCGTTGGTTGCGTATGAAAAACTGATGAGTGAAGCAGATAGAATTAATTCGGATTAATAATTTTGTATATACATAAATTACGAAGCTTTTTTTTTTGCTTAATAATAAATAAATAAAATAAATA